AAAGCCCCCTCGAATTTCACGCATTTCATTTTTCGCACATATAGACCCTAACAAAAGGTCACATGTCAGAGTATAACGTTTGTATTTCGTAGCTCAAACGGTCTTACATGAAACCCACTCTGCCGCAGTATAAAAATTTGTAAACCGTGAAAAATCAGGTTAAGCCATTTTTATGGTTGTACATTAGCATTTCTATTATCCGATTTGGATTATGAAGAGCATGTGACATGTGAATTTGTCAGTCTTGGGGTGTTTGATGTTTCAATTTCGAATTGGTTGGAAGTAAACAAGAATGAAGAATCGTGGGCATTGGTGAAGTTGTACACAAAAGGGACATTATGATCATCTTAATTGAAATTTCGAATTTCATGAAATGTTTTTCAATCAATTACATATATAGTACATAATGAGGATAGAATTTGAAATACAAGCCGAGTGCCAGAAGTAGGTCCGATAATAAAAGGTGATCTATCCTAGAAAATATATATATAGCAGTATAATTCGAGAACCAATAAAATGGTTCCTAGTAGGTGAGTTGGTAAGAGGTTGATTTGTACTCGAAGAGTCCACAAAGGCTGTATGTAACACTTGCGGTTGATGGTTGCTTCAAGCAACTGCTATGGAGATATCGCATTAACGTGAGAACCATAACATGGGGGTTTAAGGTAACCCTGAAACTGGAAAAAACAACAACACCGGCAATATTGTGAAAATATTCACAAAGATAGGTGAATGGGATATTTACAATCTCGAAAGAATCACCTAGAGATAATAATTGCATTAATATCAATACTGAATAGTAATCAGGCCAGTATTATTAAAAAAACCATGTACTGGGCATCTCTCAGTAATGGGAAATCTCAATGGATATATGAATAACCAAAGATGGATCCAGAAGACTCCATGATTGATGAATTCGGTGTAAAAGAGGGAAAATGGAATATGGATGAATTAAAATCAGGAATGAGATACTGATCAATACCATAGACTCAGAGATATCGTATATAAGTGAAAAAGTGAGAGAGCTTCTGAAGCGATGTTCAGAGGACCAGAATCTGAATAGCATGAACTTGATCAGAAGGTTATACTCATGAATCACACTGTGGACTCAACAAAACCACCATGCTCTAATTCGAAGGTGAAGTAACACCATAATGGCTGACGACAATTTGAATTCGAGCATAATCCGAAATGGGAAAGTGATGCGATCAATAATCAGTCACTGTTCTGCGGAAACATACATGAATCCGATTGACATATGGGTGATCCAATGGGGCGCAATATCTCATATTGTCGCAACTCAGATGGTTCTAGTAGGTTCTATGGCTTTATTGAGAACAAACGGCGCCTCCATCACGTGTTGCAACTCAGATGTTGACCCTTCTATAGGTCGTGACTAAGCTACTCGCTTGGCTTTTTTGACGAGCGGTTTTGATCATTTCACCACCCAACCAATTTATTCAATCACGAAAAAGGTGCCAATAAGGCTGAACAGCAAAGAACAAAATGATTATGAAACGAGCGAACAACACAACACTCTGGAAGTCAGCAATCGATGAATGATTGTTTTGTACTGATTTTAACATAATAATTGGTAGTGATGAATCGAATAACGATTGAACTATGCCTTATCGATTCGGGTTCTATTTTTATTTGAAATCGATGCTAGAATCGCAACTTGCCGTTGCAAATGGCCGTTACCTTTCGATATTGCTTACCTAGGTATTATCGCACGGTAAGCGGTTTTTGCAAATTCTAGAGGAACTGACATCTATGAACTCTGCTGACCTGATCGAAAATACACTGTATTTGATGTTTCAATTTGGAAAAGCTAATTTATGATAAAAGATTTTGGAATGTACAAGAGTTTGAGTGATGTTAATTCATAGGCATTTATACTTCTTGACAATATCATACTTGAGTGTGAACTTACATATTCTGTAAGTATAACTCACAGGAGAACTCTCTAATTGCCATCTTGGTAAATAGGGAAATCTGATCACTTGAGCAACGAGCTTGACAGCAAGAAGACATTAACTCCATGCACCGCTATAGTTTTCATTCTGAGTAAATCAATTAATTACCTATCGTATGACATTTCAATTTTTCAAATCAGCAATCGATATCACCACATTTCCCATTCTCATAATTCAATAAATCTCTGATTACTTTAACATCCAAGACATTTCATCATGAAGTTTTGGTAAAATTTTTTTCTGTCTAAAAATTTGATGGATGAGAACCACGCTTCAGATGCCTGCATCTAAGGAAGATTTGTGGGACAAAATTCATGGACTATAATCCATAAGATACACACCACACTGGCCAGAGCGAAGAAAGCCAAGACGAGAAGCACTCACTTTTTTTTTGTTTATGTTCTGGTTCCCACGAAAAAGGATATCCTGTAATGTTCAGAGAACATCGTGAGAACCAAGGGAAATAAGGTAGGAATTGGTGTTCTTCTTAAATGTCTGCAGGTTATATGCCTCGGGGAACACCTCCCTTGGCAATGTGTTCCAGAGCCTCGCTGTTTGTTGAATGTACGAGTCTTTGGAAAGAGATGTTCTGCAGGTTGGCAAAGTGAACACGAAGGGGTGCGAAGCCTCAACTCGACGAGTTAATCTCGCGGGGACTGCCAAGGGAGGAACAATTGTTGATATATCAGAAGAGCATCGTCCATGAAAATATCTATAAAATAGAGCCAGATCGCTAACTTTCCTACGGTGTTCCAGGAAATGAGTGGGTTTGTGAGCGAGGCGTCACTCACGAGACGAATTGCCCTTTTTTGGACAGAATCCAACAGTTTCAGGGTATGTTTAGGTGCTGTACTCCAAATATGTAGTAAATTTTTACCGTCTTGGTGAATATGCAAATCTGATCACTTGAGCAGCGAGCAAGAACACATTAACCCCATGCACCCCTATAGTTTTCTCTATATGTAATAGAAAACCTGACTTGTCAATCTGACTAGATCAATTAATTATACCTATCGTATAATATTCAAATTTTTCAAATCAGCAATTGATATCACCACCTTTCCCGATCTCATATTTAAATAAATCTCTGATTACTTTGACATCCAGGACATCTCACCATGAAGTTTGGCTAGACTTTTTCCTGTCTAGGAATTTTATGGATAAAAAAACACGCTTCAGATCAGGGGCGTCATTTCAGAGTTTGTCAGGGGGGGGCAAGATGAGGTCAGGAGAAAAGTGCGCCGCAGGCGAAATTTTTTTTGCTTCAAGGTCAAATGGTTTCAAATCGAAAGTAAAGTTTCCCAACCAGTATGTGCAGATGCAGATTTTCATGCATTCTATGTGCAGAAAAAACTTTTCTTACTTATACAACGATGAATTTGAGGAGTTTTCATTCAATATAAATAGGTTTGGACACAACCAACTCAGGTAGATATAACAAAACAAAAAACCACATTATATGATATTATATTGAGCATTGAACTTAGAAATAACTCTCTGGTAACAAACGTAACAAAAACAAAAATAAATAAGAATTCTAAATCAAATAAATATGTCACAGAAATAAAGGTACATTGACGTTGTAATCACAAAGGAGTAGTAAATTCACAATTAATTAATTCAACAAAGGATATCGTCGTTTTTTCATCCTGGCGAAATGATCAACAGCTTCGTCAAGATCGATATTTTTCACTTCATCCGATTCAACAGATATCACGAGTAAATCACTCAATCTATTGTCTGCAGTAGTACTCCGTAAATAACTTTTGATTATTTTCATTGAAGAAAAAAATCTTTCATTGGTAGCTGTTGTTACGGGTAAGGTAAGAACCAAATCTATTAATTTTAATGATTCACTAAAAGCTTCTGGTAATGCATTCAGTCGATCTCTAATGTCTATAATATTTTTGCATACATGCATATCCGATTCTAAAAATTGCTTGGCTGTAGTGAATTCGCTTGATAAACGGATTGAATCAATTTGATTGATTGATTGATTATAATGCTCTATAAGTGGCTTCGCAGAATCTATGTTCAGGAATTCATTATGAGAGCTGACATCAAATATAATTAAGGAATTCAGTATTTCATTGTGATCCAAGAACCTCCGATCTAATTCCGAAATAAACCTGTCTAGGACCATGAAGAATACATCAATTTTGATTTCAGGATTATCGTTCTTGCCTATAGTACTATCAACAAAATAATCGGTTAATCTGCTATTATATTTTCTCTGCCTGGAGTGCCTGGTACGTTGAATAGTCATTTCTTGATCGGAGTTCATTATCGTGGCGGTGTCCTTTATTGCATTCCATGAGGTATCATTCCTCATGTTCTCTAACATTTTTTTGGTACAATTGACCAATTTGAGTGCTGCTACTATATTGAGCTCTGTATTTTGAAGCTCACAAGACAAGGCATGAACTTTTTCTAGTATTGATTCCATAGTGCACAAAGTTAAAGTGAATTCTGTCCTGGAAATTTCTGCCAGTAAACCAGTAGCTTCAGCTCGTACCACTTTATCAACTGATTGGTCAGATAGGGCTGTCAATGTATCCTTGATTGACATATAGCGTACTTTAACCTTTTTCAGTGACTTATACCAATAAGACCAGCGAGTATCCACTAATCTCTCTAAATGAATAACAGATTCATTTCGTTGTTTCTGTGACTCAACGAACATTTCGTATCGAGTCTGACCATTCATTATAAAAGTATATAAATTTTGAACAATGTCAAAAAAATCGCTCACTGCCTTAATGTGTTTAACTGTGGCAATCAAACAAAGGTTCAACCTATGTGCATGGCAATGTACATAAATTGCGTTTGGAGCAACATCTCGTATTATCTTCTGAACCCCTGACAATGCACCACTCATTACTGATGCTCCGTCATAGCTTTGAGCAATACACTTTTTCAAATCCAGTTTGTAGGTCATCATGATATTTATTATCTCTGAAGATAAACTTGCAGCATCAGATTTTTTCATATGATAACAACCCAAAGCTCTTTCCTGGACATTACCTAATTTATCCACGAACCGGAGAACAAATGACAACTGTTCCTTTTTTGAAATATCTTTCGATTCATCGACTAAAATAGAGAAAAACCCATGCGATGACATCTTGTCTAGAATAGATTGTCTTGTAAGAGCACCGACTGTAGCGATTAAGTCGTTTTGATATTCTGGGGAAGTGTAGTGACCATATCGTAGAGACAATTTTTCTTTCAACCTCTTATCTTCATCAGAGAAAATTTCTAGCAGCTCAATGAAATTTCCTTTATTCCTAGAATTTTCGCTTTCATCTTTCCCCCGAAAAGCTAGTCCTTGCCTCCCCAGGAAACAAGTTGCTTTAATCAACCATCGAACATGCCGGCGGTTATCTTCAACATCACAGGCGCGGTTCTCGTTCAACGTATTTGCTATGTTTTGGGAAGTTTTATTTTGAATTGCAGTGGCATTTGTCCAAAATGTCATAGAACTTATATGTTTCTGACTCACAGAATGTTGTTGAAGTATGGATTTGATATCTCTCCACTTACTCACACCATAGTCAACAAACGCTACTTTTCCGTAGGATTGTCCAGCAAATACAGTATTTCTACAGAAATGTCTACATGCATAGCAGTAAACAGAATCATCTTCAATGGAGTATTCAAGCCATCTGAATATTTTGTAGTGCTCGGGATTGAATCTTGTGCCATTTTTTACTGGAAATTCGGAAATAATCGGTTGAGCCGGAGGGTGGTTGTGAGACAATGATAAGTTTGATGTTATCTTTAAATTATCATTGCTCGAAGTGCTCGAACTGGCAGACGCTGTAGATTGCAACTGCAATTTTAAATAAATAAATCTTAATACACTATTCGAAATCAGCAGTCAACTTACCCTGTTAGGATGACCAGCATTTGAACGAATATCGATGACACTTCCGGTTTCAATATTCGGTTGCTCGCTATCAGTCTCACAACGATCACTCAAAGTGACAGTTTTTTTGTTGCAATTCTTCAGCCAATTTTCCATCAGGCCTCTTGAGCCAGCCGATCTTTTCATTATATTGGAATCGAGTAGCTCAATAAGTTCAGAAATTGTCAAAAAGGGAATAATGCCCGTCCTACCTATTAGGATTTCAATTTGCGATTCGCGTCTCACGCGGTAACAAAAGCAAGATGATATTGGCACAAATAATCGAACGTGTTGTAACGGAGCTTCTAACCTTAACCCTCTACAGAGCCACTATACGAACGACGAACGACACATACTCCTACAGACTGTCAGACTCCAGACTGCCCCTTTCCATAACACCTACAATCAGGCGATCGGTTTGTTCGCGTTAGAAAAATGAACAGTTCGAGTTCGAAACCATCAGAAGCATGCGCAGTTCCACGGAACTTTAAGAATCAGTATAGTCAGTTATGTTTATAAATGGAACGCGAACAAGCCTAATGTAATGTAAAACCATAATTATGGAATCAAGGTATGTCCAGTGGATTGAGCGACAATTTTCGTATTTTTTCAATTTCTGCTACTTGTTGACTGGGGAGTTACAAGTCACTCTATATTCACCCTATATAATTATTTTGCTCTTCGCTCCAAGGTTCGTATTCACATAATTCAACGAAAAAGAGGCTAGGATCTCTGGCATCGAATTGTCGCTGTCTGAAACCAGGGGGGGCAGTTGACCCCCCCTGCCCCCCCTAAATGACGCCCCTGCTTCAGATGTCTTCATCTGAAGAAGATTTGTGGAAAAAATTCATGGACTAATCCATTTGATACACACCACACTGGCCAGAGCGAAGAAAGCCAAGGCGGAAAGCAATACAAAAGCTTCGGTTTAAAAGAGTGCAATTTATCAAGTCACCTTCTCGATCCCAAAAAAAAAGGACAATTATTGTTCGTGGCGGAGAAATGGCAACAGGCAAGGTCTGCCTCGCAAATATTTAGAATGTGTGGACAGGCATTCAACTATTAATGTTTCCGATGATTAATATACGGACAGTGATGTCTCTTTCGCTTTCTGCCTTTCTATAAGCTATTATGCCCTTATTGAAATCGGGGGATGTGAAATATTTTGACTTTTGTACTTGTGTTTGCCCGGGTTTTTATCACGAGAAAGGTTTTATGGGTTTCATCGCATTACGGGTCTGTTTGTTGAAAGGGAATTATTTATTATATCGGATATCTGAAGACACGTTATGACGTTATCGATGATCATTCTTGAATGGATCAGAGCACTGAATATGCATGATATAATATGTTATAATACTACAATAAAATCTCATAAATTTATTTTCAATTAATTACGTTGTTTATGACAACAATAGAATAATGCGATAATTTTATTAGTTCCTAATTAATGAGTGATATTTTTTCTGTCAAAAATAAAGCACCTTATATACAGGGTGTCCGGAAATTATGCAGTAGGTATTTAATCTGAGTGGGTAATCACTTTCATTATATTCAATATATGGAAAACAAGTCATAGCAAGAAGCTGAAAATTATTCATCTCATTGAGGTATTTATACTTAGAATATTAATGAAAAAAAAACTGACCTTAACGGTGTTAATCTAGAATTAGAGGGTGATGAAAAAAATAGTAGTATTTTGATATAAAAAAAAGTTTTTAATCTTCTCCTGAAGATGCTAACATAGTTAGCGAAACACGTGTCGAGGCGTTAAAAAATCGGTTTGGTTAGTGGTAAAACAGTGTAGTGTATTATCGTGCAAAAGGTTCCAGTCTTCGATATTTCAATTTCCTAACAAAACTCTTATGATTATTCAAGTCTTTTATAAACTGAGGTAAATTATTAAATGTTTTGATTGCATCTACGATCGGATTTTTTAAACCTACATTTGTCCTTGTATATATCTGGTAGATGTTATTATGTGATCTTGTTTGGTAATCATGTACATCAAAGCAAAACTCAATATCAATGTTACTTTTTTGTTGATCATTGAGTATTTTATAAACAAGTTTGCATTGTTCTATAACCAGAATTTCTTTTAATCGAATTAACTTCAATTCTTAATAAATTATATTCGTGCTAGCCCAGATAGCACAAATTCCTTCTGAGGCCCTTCTGAGGCGTTCACAATCATGTCCTCAGGACGTCGAGAGCGAGCCTGAGGACATTCTCAAGACGTCCTCCTGTTACCATTCTCTACATACTAATAACGTCTCAGAACATCCCTATAAAATCTTTTGAGACAAGCTCAGGACATCATGGTAACAACTTGAGGCGGTTTTTGATGATGTTTCAAGGAGGTTCAAGATTTATGGGAGAATATTATTCGTATACAGAATGAGTCCCTATAGTGTGTTCTCTCCGATATTAGCCAAACCGTCAGATATATAAAATGAAAATTCAAGTACAACAGTAATAGGGTTTCATAAAAACAATCACCTAAAGTTGTTTTCATATCTATAGGGTGTTCGAATTCCAAGATATCGGTTGATGATTGGTTTTTTTCAATGGAACACCTTGTATATTATTGCATTTTTGAGTTTTCCCTGAAGAGTTGATTCCATCAATGCATCACACTTGGTGTCTAGTGAGAATTATTACAGAGATATAGGGTGTTGACAATTGAGATTCTTCAAATGTAGGATTTTTTGTGTCGAAACTATTCATTAATGGTCAAAACGGCTCACATGTTCCTGTCATACAACAGATACAATAAGCTGATCAGTATTCTGAATGTTAACCCACCCTCTATTTGTTCCGATTGAATGTCAGTAGATAGTAAATCGAAAGTTTATGAGGATATGTGAGCCGTTTTGACCAATATTGAATAGTTTCCACAAAAAAAATCCTAAAATTGAAAAATCTTGTTTTTGAACACCCTATATCTCTGTAATCATTCCCGCTAGACCCCAAGTGTGATGCATTGATGGAATCAGCTCTTCAGGGAGAACCTAAAAATGCAATAGTATACAGGGTGTCCCATTTGGAAAAAAACAATCATCAGTCAATATGTCTTGGAATTCGAACACCCTACAGATATATATGAAAACAATTTAATGTGAAAGTTCTCATAAAACCCTATTACTGTTGTACTTGAATTTTCTCTATTTATCTGATGGTTTGGCTAATATACAAGGATAACACACTATTGACTCACCTTGTATTATGCTAATGATAATTTCTTCAAAATAATATGGATCTCATGATATTTGCAAAATGTCCCTCTATTTATAATAGGTTCAAATGAAAAACCAAATGAAAAACTTACATTCTATTATTTATAACTAATTCTGAAAAATTTCAATTTCCTTTTCGAAGAAATGTATTTCAGCTTCTTGTTGAGCACTACTAGAAGTTATTGCCTATTGATAGTTATATTTCTCCATGTTGTTTTTGATTTCTGAACTCTGGACATTCCTGATGCAGAATAATCAACTGGAAGTTGAAGCATTCATGCAATATTTTATAGATTCTGAAGAAGCAAAACTATCTTGGAATGAAAATATCATCAGGTTTGTGTTTTGCATAACCTTCTGAAACAAACAATGTATTAATATTTCATGTCCAGTACTTACTTTCAATGATATGATTTATGTAGTTATAGAGGTACCAACCATTATTGAATCTACTGAAAGTTCAAGTCTGCATATGTACAATCTTTCATAATTTCCAAAGAAGCCAAAATATCTTGGAATAAAATATCACTGCTCTGATGATATCATCATTTTGTGTAATCAATAACCTCCTGAAACAAATAATGTACCTATTAATATTTCATGTTCCAGTCCCTACTATATCAATGATTTGATTTAGGTACCTACCTTTATTGAATATACTGAAAGTGCAAACATGCATATGCAATCTCACATAGATTTCGAAGAAGCCAAAATATCTTGGAATGAAATATCTCTGCTCTGATGACATCATCAATCTTGTGTTCTCAATAACTTCATCTGAAACAAATAATTAACCTATTAACATTTCATGTCCAGTACCTACTATATCAATGATTTGATTCAGGTACGCCTACCTTTATTGAATTCATACTGAAAGTTCAAGCTTCCATACAATATTTTATAGATTCCGAATAAGCAAAGCTATCTTGGAATAAAACATGTTTGCTATATGATGATATCATCAAGTTTGTGTTCTCAATAACCTCCTGAAACAATAAATAATAATGTATATGAATCTCGATATGAATGTATCAATATTTCATGCCCGGTACTATCAATGATTCTATTTTTAGTATTTACTCACCATTGTTTCTTGCTACCATCCTTTTGTAATTGTTATCTTTTAATTCTGTGCGATAAGTTCTTCTCGCAATCATTTTGTGAAATAGAAATTTGATGAAGGTATTCAATGAATACTCTAATAATTTTGATATAATCATTAATATATTATGATGTATCTTGAACAAATCATGACTACCATGAGACATAACCTCAATTCTAGTTCTTCTTTTTCTTCCTTTTGTCTTCGATGATTTCATGGAATGTCATCTGAAGACGTCCGTAGGCACGAAATTCTTTAAATCCTCAGGCTGTCACTGAAAGAACTCATTTAGGACAATTACAGCGCTAAATTTACGCCTGATGATGTTCTTAGGTTGTAGGAAATAGAACGTCCTCTCCAGGCGTTTGGCGACACATTGAGGATGACCTTAGGCGAGTGTGTGCTATCTGGGAGTGAGCCAATCATACTTGAATAATATTTTAAGGGTTTTGTTTTGCAATTTCTGAACTTTATCGCGATGATATATGAAATATGGTAGATGGTTCAAATTATTCAAGGCCGACCCAGTACGATATAATATATTATGTCAAATTACTTGTTGTTGCGCGAACTATAGCACCGTTGTCATAATTTCATGACGAATGTAATGAATTGAAACTACTGGCGCCATCAAAGATATATTTTAGTCTGTTTTGCAATATAGTCCATAAACTGCAGTATAGTTTGGTGCTCAAGTATAGCCTCGTTTATGATCGTAGAAAAAATATTGTGAAAAACTCTTTGGAAAGTTCATTTCTTGTGTCTACGTTATATGCGGCTCGTGCTATACACAATCATCTTGTCGCGCA